GTGTTGACAACTAAATGTGGAAATGGAGGGAGAGACATCAGCTTGGAAAAGATAAATAGTTTATGAGCTAGATATTTTTGTTCTCGCTTCCTGACTGAGGCAGATTTATCCATATCGTCTGTCTAGGAAGAGACTATGAGAGAACGCAATATTGTGGTGCTTGGAGACTGGTAGCACGCCTATGCTAAAAGGTTCTTTTCCGTCTCTGATGTTCAAAATGCCTGCTTGCTTCAGCCTCTGTTTTTATTTGCTTTTATTTACTTTGACCAAGAATTGCATCTGAGGAAATCACAGAGCTCTTAGACAACTGATGAGGCATCATTAGGATGTTGAGAGCACATATTGTAACTGAACCTTTCCAACTGTCAAATCTGTATGTGCACATTTATTTGTGTGTAGTTTAGGGTTGGTAAGATTTTGTAATGTTTTTAAAGGACATATTTTATGCTAAACAAGGATGTATTCATTTGTTAAAAATACTGTATTGTGAAATATTATTACAATTCAAAACACATTTTTCTATTTTAATATATTTTTCAAATGTAATTTATTCCTGTGATAGCAAATCTGAATTTTCAGCAGTATTTCACATGATCCTTCAAAAACATTCTAATATGCAGATTTGGTACTCATGAAACATTTCTTATTATTATCAATGTAGAAAACACTTGTGCTGCTTATATTTTCATATTTTTATGCAAACTGACTTTTTTTCCAATTTTTTTTGATGAACTGAAAGTTTAAAAGAGCTCATTTTGTTAATTAGGTTGCAAGCCGGTTTGAAAGCTGTATTATTTAAGGTATAGTTCATGTTCATAGCACAAACGGGATGCGATGAGTTATGTGCCAAAGTTAGGGGTTCGTTCAAATTCAGAACCATATATATAAACAATTATCACAGTGATACCTATTTTAGCAAACACCACTGAAAATAGAGTATGTGGTTATTGTATGACTGACTATATTTTTGCCTTACTCCTGCTGAAAGGCGCCCACAGAGGTATCAGTCTCTCAGGATGGCTGACCGAGGGACCCCCCAGCCTGCCCGTTCATCTTCCAGCATGTCCATGCAGTCTGATTCAGGGAAAGGTCACTCCAAGAGCAAACGCATATCCTCCACACCGGTCCCCAGTGACGTCCCTCTAGAAGTGCCAGAGGTTGCAGGTATGAAATAGAAACAAGCTGCTTCGTGCTGTTAGTGTTTGCCTCCCACTTGTAAATACTGTACAAGCAGCTCTCTGATCTGCCAGTTATTTACATTATGCTAAAAAATGCATAGAGTTTGACGTCATTATGTATTTAAAATGGTGCCAGCATAACGATATAGTGGTTCAGAGTTATTAAATATTGAAAACTGTGACAGAAAGCTCCTTTACTGCCACTCAACACTAACATCTAATGCACTCACACTTATTTTCCTTTTTTCTACTTGCTACTTTTATTTTTTTGTGAAGTGCAAAGGGGCTTTCAGTAGGAAAGGAGCTGCAAATGGATTAGTACTACCATAATCTAATTGTAGGACCTCTGCATCTGTGACCATTGTATATTTGTTGTTACTTTCACACTTCTGTTTTGTATTCACATTTTGGCATTCTGGCACTTTTCGCTTGATATGTTTTTACTTATTCATTCCTTGATCGGTTGTGTTTTTGGGCACCATGTAAAACAAAGTTATTGCAGAAGAACCATAATATTATTTGTCTGCCCTTTCCACTAAAGGTCAGCTAGACCTGAACTGTTGTGCAAAATGTTTTCTAATCTGAACTGAGCTGGTTGTTTGAATTATTCTTTGCATTATGTGTTTGTGTGTATGTTTTTTTTCTCAGTTGAGAAAGAGAAGCCTGTCTCAGAGGTGGATGTTTCACCAGAGGAAGTAGATTCCTACACGAAACGGCTGGTAATTCACTCATACATGCTAAATTATCAGCCTTTAGGCACAGACACTGATAAATCACCTCACAATGATTGGGATTCTTATCTGATTATAATCTGCAATTTATAATTTTTCCCTCGCTTGAGTCTCGCGCCTGCGGTCCTGGCTTACTAATCAGTGCTTTCATATCGGCGTTATTGAGTTCTTCTAATGATGTGAGTGAATATTTCATCCGCTCTCCACATGCTCCGTGGGCTTAAAGGTCTTGTTTGGGTCCCGTTCACGTCTTAGACCTCATCATCGATCACACAAATCCGGAGGACGGCAGCAAGTTAGTGCGAGAAACATCGTTAAATTCCACCCAATGGTCTTCAAAATAGAGGAAGAAGAGATGCATATTGTTGAACTGTAATTTCCATTACAGGCTCATGCATACGCATGACGAGGTCTTTGGCTTAAACAAGATAGATAACCCCTGGTCACAAATAATGGCTGATGCAAATAGCACGGGAGGAAGAAATGACTGAGAAAGTGAGGGGCGAGTGGGCAGAGCCAGCCAGCGAACTTACAGCATCTCTGTCCTTTCATCAATGAGGTTAATAGAATTAATTACAGCCCTCTGGCTGGAAAAAGGCAATGGCATTTACATGCAGTGGCTCAGTGTGTCCGCCCCTGCTGGGAGACCCTGTAGAAAAAGCAGCTGGTGAGCTGGTTGTAATGACATTTGTTATAGTAATGCACATTCACTGACATTAGCCCTTTAGACAAATATCAATATGTTTATGGTGGTTATGTGGTGCTTTTAGCACAGAGATAAGATTAATTATTAATGTGATGTGTTATGCCACGCAACTTCTGAGAGGATGATGGAGGTTTTGATGGGAGTTTTTCATCCAGTTTGACATGCAAAATACTGTCTCACCATATAATTTGATGTTACGCCATACCATGTTTCATCCAGTTTGGCCAGTCTGTTAATTCAAATCAGCTCATACCCTCATCGCATATGCCCTGCCACATGACAGCAGTGTACCAGTGACAAAAAATAAATATATATAAATATACATTGTAATGTTACAAAAGATTTCAGTTTTAAATAAATGCTGTTCTTTTTTTAAACTTTCTATTAATCAAAGAATCCTGAAAATCCTGAAGGATCATGTGACACTGAAGACTGGAGTAATGGCTGCTGAAAATTCAGCTTTGCCACCACAGGAAATTAAAATGACATTTTAAAATATATTCAAATAGAAAAAATTTTAATAATATTTCACAATATTATTGTTTTCTCTATTGGATTCTTGGTGAGTGTAAAGCCCCGTTCACACCAAGAACGATAACTATAAAGATAACGATATTAGCGTCCACACCAGCGAACGATATCGTCTGTTTATTCTAAGCGCACGCACGTCTGCCGCTTTAAATTCTTGATCTCGTTACAGCAGGATGGATTCTGATTGGCTGTCAGTGTTTTATCGTTCATCAGCTGGAAAAAAATATTTTGAAAGTGATCACAACGATATCGTTCCTCTGTATCGTTATCGTTATAGTTGTAGTGTGAACTATGCTATTCTTTAATATTGAGAACGATTTTTAGAACTATATCTTTATCGTTATCTTTATAGTTATCGTGCTTGGTGTGAACGGGCCTTAAGAGTCTTTAAAAAAAAAACATTTTAAAAATCTTACTGACCCCAATCTTTTGAACGATTGTTTAAACAAAATAAAAAAATATATTTATTTAAAATACTTAGATTGGTTATTATAATTAACTGATCTTTTTTTTCCACCAGAGAGAAGCATTTAAACGGCGTTTAGCATTGAGTGGTGTGTCAAAGGAGTCCTGGACAGAGGAAAGTGAGCGAGCCTTGGATAAATTCATCTCAGACTCTTCTGTCAGGCTTCTCATTGTCTACCATGACCCTTTCACCAGCCTACGCGTGGACTATGCCATACCAGCTCAGGTATGCTGCAGCTCTATACTGAGAAATGACATTTAACATCCCAATCAGAGCCTTATGTGTCACAATCTCATAAAGACTGTGAAGATTATTCAGGGGTTGAGTGTGCTTGTTTTTATAGTGATATTTTGAGCTTCAATTTAATGAAGGAACATGCAGGGTTTCTCAATACATTTATTCTTCATGCGTTGTGTTCATTTCTAATGCATCTGGTGACTTATACCAAGGATACCAAAGCTCTCAGTTAGGCCTGGGCGATAAAACGGTATCGATATTTATCGACGGTACACCTTCTTCGATAATGATAGAAAAAATATTCGATATAGCGCACGATATAGGCAGGTGCTATGAGTGACGCAGACAGAACACACAAAAACGAACACATGCTGAAATGAGTGCTGAGCCTGCCTGTGATGAGGAGTTTGTAAATAAAGAATGAATTCTATGTCGAATGTAAAATAAATATTTGCATTTGAATGTTAGGTGTGCATCAGGGAGCGTCATCAGTGGCGCGTGAGATGCGGTGATGATGTAAGTGACGTTGCATTTTAATGTTTTGCTAGTCTAGCCCACGAGACGCGCCGCTGCTGCGTTCAAAATATTGAAAATAATGATCTTTAAAATAGCATCATATGACCCCTTTAAGACCCATTTAATCTGCATATAAAACATTAGAAATTTAGATATTTAATTTTTATTTTGTGTTTGATTGTTAAAACAAATAAATATTTGTTGTTTGTCTCAATAAATTGGGTTAATTTAAAAATATAGTGGTTAAATTTAAATATTTTTTCTATTGCTCTTTGTTTTAAAAAAGGTTTTAAAAAATGTAAATAATTATCGATACTGAACGATATGAAACATTATATCGTTGATAATTTTTTTTGCTATATCGCCCAGCCCTACTCTCATTGTTAAACTGTGTGTGATGACCTCTGGTGATCAGTTAGCACTCAAAAAATATGAATTATTACCAACATCTTCTCTTTCCCACTTATCCATCTTCCATCACTCTCTCTCTCTCTCTCTCTCACTCCCCCCAGGTGGTTGAGCACATGTCCTACTTCATTCGGGCAGAGGACAGTATAATCACAGAGGAGAGTTTTTGGAGCACAGTGCAGTTTGGTTCTGTAAGGGGAGGGGCCATAGAGGGTCTCCTCAGGCTGATGAATGGCATTCACACCCCTCAGGTCACCCTCAGCACTGCCTGGCCTGAGACCGCCAAGAACAACTACTCTGTAGAATTGCACCGCTTCCTCAGCAAAGTTACAGGTAATGACAGACAGTCACAGCGCCACCTAGTGTGGGCCCTCCTCAGACAGTAACAGTAACCTCCTGTATACACTTGTATGTTATTTGTTGTGACTTTACAGTTGGCACAGCATGAAGTAACATGCATTAATAACAGTTGAAAAGGGGGCCATGAAGGGTGTCTTGGTGGTTTTAAAATCGTGTACATTGGGAAAAAATGTCAATTTTTCAAAAACTATTTTTTTTCTCAGAAATTGCTTGTAAATTGTACAAATAATTTAGAAGAGAAACAATTAACAAATGGCAGCGGCTATTTGCACGAAGTGTAAATAGTGATAGAGGCTATTTACACTAAGTGTAAATGGCAATTAGATGCTATTTACACTAAGTGAAAATAGCATATTTTCTTAGCGATAGATGCTATTTACACTAAGTGCAAATAGCAGCATTTTTTAGTGATATGTTATTTACACTAAATGCAAATAGCTATTGATTCTATTTACACTGTTAAAATAACAAGATTTTCTGCTATTTATACTACTTATTGCAAATAGTGGCAATTATTTGCACCTCAGTATTGTAGTACATTATAAAAAAGTATGCAATAATAACTTATTGAGTGTAAATTTTAATTTTAATTCAAATTATTAAATGGATGCCACCTTATTGGGACAATAAAGCCCTCCCTACACCTACCCGATACTTTATTTTCAACTTTTTGATTATTTCCTTCATTTTCATTGAAAATAAATGCTTGTTGTGATTTGTGATGTGATTTGAAATTTGAAAAGGAAGAAAAAAGTTCGCCAAAAGGCGGATTCGAACCCGGGTCGATCGCGTCAAAATGAGTTCGACACACGTTTTACCATTTGCACCACTGGAGCTGCCGACTGTTGCCTGTCTTTTGTAATGTTGACTAGCCGAATCACATGTTGGTGGGCGGAATTAGTGTAAATAGCCTCTGCCAACAAGGCAGGCTATTTGCACTTAGTGTAAATAGACACTCTGTTAACAAATTGAATTAAACACAACATTATTAAGTAGAAAGCCTGAAATATTATTTTCTTATAAAACATACTCCAGTAATCTTTATTTACAGTTTTGAAAAATCATTTATTACAGTGCATGTACAGTAAGGAGCTGCCTGAAGTACATACAATCTTTGATTAATGTCTCAAACTCTTTCAAAAGTTACTTTGAAAATTGAAAGTTCATTTTCTTTTTCATTAAAAAAAATAATGAAAGTACAGCGTTGCAGCCCGGGTGCTTTATTATTTACATGCTCACTGAAGTGCACTGACCTCTCTTTTACTACCACTTTCTATTTCAATTCACATTTACTGTATGTTATTGATCCTTCCTTTCATCAATATTGCAGTCAGCGACTTTCTTCATATATGTTTCTTTCACATTAAGCTAAACCCAAGCACTACTGACCTGAGATCACATTTACATTTTGTATTTTGATTTGCTCTCCATCGGCTTAACAGGCGTAGCTGATTCAGAATCAGTGCTTTTGTGGGTTTTTTTTGCAATCTGACTGAGCTTCTCCACCGTCAGCCATTCAGAGGTAATCACCTGGGCACAGTGGAGCACTGTGATGGTTCAATTATTATGCTCATCAGTCCAATCAGCACACCCACATCACCCAGAGCAGCACGACTCTGACTAAACAGAAATAACACAGCCACCAATCACAGGCTCTTTTGACATGGGGAAAGGCACTACCGCAGTGCTCCCGGGTAATCAGAAAGCCGTTCGACAATTTTAACAATTCGCCTTTTGGTTCTCCTCTTTTAGCACATAATTCTGTAGATCATGTTTGAGGCGGTAAGACTGGGTGCCAAGAAATACATTTTTAAAGCCATTGGAGATGTATGGAAAGATGATTCAAATGCCATACCGCAAATTTACCTTGAATCTGTTTTAATTAAGCTAACAAATAACAGTGAGGTCACAAAGTGCTCTTAAGTGATGTATTAAGCTGGTTAAAATGGTGTAATTCAGAGGGAATTCAGGTTACAATTGAAAGAAGTGAGTAAGCGGCCACAGTTATATTGATGTTAGCCATGCCTTTTCCAAAAATAACAGCACAGGCTCAGTTCATTCTTACTCCGTGAGGTAAAGCCTTGCCAATTCGTCTCTCTCATCTACCAAAGCTGAAGAATTTGGCCTGGAATTTGTACTGAATAAATATAGACACTGTATACCCACTCCTACACAAAAAAGCCACATACTCTATAGGATTAGACACACAAATACACACACATGCACATTTTTTCGCATCTCAGCCAGCTGACTCATTCACTTTCCGGCTTTATTTTATTTTATTTATTTTTTATTTTTTGATGTCTCATTATTTTCCCTCTGGTGTATCCTGTTTGCTTGTCTTTGTTCTCCCTGTAAAGGCCAATCGAATGCTGTCATTGTGTTCTTCCACTCTTTTTATTTCTACGTCTCATAACTGCCATCACAGAATGAAGCAGCTAGTCGAACTTGTACACATTGGCCTTGTTCCTTTTAATCTTTTCATCTCTCAATATGCTACGTACTTTTTGTATCTCGCTCTTTCTTCTGTCTCCCTCCATCAGACTTCTCCTTCCAAAAATTTAAGGTGACAGACCTCTATTATCTTTTTATCTGCCTTTCACTCTTTAAACGCCTGTTGAAGGGGTTGCAGTAAGCATCGTTTTGATGTCCAGCATGGAAGGAGCAGCGGATACTGTAGAAACCACAAAAAAAACGAACAGCAGTCATAAAAACCATTTGTGACGGCTGAGACGTGCCACACGGGCATAAAAGCATAGCAGTAAACTTTTATTGTGTTTCCCTTTTGTGCTCTTGTGTTGATTCATTTCACCAACATGCAAAGCACTATAATGTGGGATGGATTTGCTGTCTGTAGCAGTAAGAATGAGGAGTGACATGATGGATGTGATGATGTGCTGTGCTGTACTTGGTGTTGCTGGTATGGATGACTTTCACTGATCGGATTACTGATGTCCAACTATTGTTTTTTTTTTCCACAGACAGCAGATTTAAACTGCTGGGCAGCACTGTGCTGTACGTCCCTCTGGAGGCTCTGCAGCACCGCCCAGAGGAGGCCGTCACGAACAAGAGTCTGGTGCAAAGGCTGGAGAGTAAGACTGTGGTCGTGTGTGTGTATGGGTGTGTGAGGGCTTGAATAATTTCTGATGGAGTGGACTGTGAGGAATGAACAGTGTGAAAAGTACATAACATGCCGTATGCAGGAAATTACATCTACCGTGACAGTCCGTGGCTAGAACCTGTGAGTGTGATTTACACAGTAACCACAGCTGAAGGGCAAAAATACAGGGCTAATTCAATTCAACACTGCCATGCTGCTCTAAGACAGTTAAAGGAGTCTTTATTAAATTTGGCAGTCCTGGAGGGGTCCAGGGTTAAAGGGACATACTTGGGGCATTTGGAGGTGTTGGAGAAAAAAGGCATTTTAGAAGCTAACTTAAGAAAAAAAAGAAAAAACAGGACACGGTATGAATGATACTCCACTCAGGGTCTTTTACAGCAGGCAGCAGAGCAGAGACTATTTGTCCTCCAGATTGTATTTAAAATTTCTCAACTGTCTTAAAGTCAACAAGAGGTCGGAAGGTGCCCTTTCTTTATACAGGCTTAGTTTAATGTGTATTGATATATACCGTTCAAAAGTCAGTGAGATTTTTAAAAATGTTTTTAAAAGTATATCATGCTCACCAAAGCTGCTTTTATTTGATCAAAAATACAGGAAAAACAGCAATATTTTGAAATATTATTTCTGAATATTATATTAAGGAACTGTTGTGTTCCTTAATGTGTTTTTTTTAAAGTGTTACAAAATATGTGATGGCAAAGCTAAATTTTAAGCAGCCATTACTCCAGTTGTCAGTATCACATGACAGATATCATTCTAATATACTGATTTGGTGTTCAAGAAACATTTCTTATTTTTATCAATGTTGAAAACAGTTGGACTGTGAAAGTTCAAAAGAACTTCCTTTATTAGTAAATTTTTTTTTAATTATACTGTCATTTTCATGAATTTAATGAGTCCTTGCTATGTAAAAGTTTTAATTTCTTTCAAAAAAACAACAAACAAAGTCTTACTGACCACAAACTAATAATATATAATATTATTTCTGTTTGTATTGTTTTTGTAGTCCTTTGTCAAAACTGAATGACTTGCTCTGGCTGTGAGATGACTTTTTGGCTTATGTTAATTTGCCAAATACAGGTATAGGCATTAATTTATACCTGTTGGCAGAGGCTATTTACACAAACTCTGCCCACCAACATGTGATTCGGCTAGTCAACATTACAAAAGACAGGCGACAGTCGGCAGCTCCAGTGGTGCAAATGGTAAAACGTGTGTCGTACTCATTTTGACGCGATTCATTTATTAATTTAGGCACTACAAAATGTTGCCGGTAGTTGATGGGATAGTTCACCCAAAAATGAAAATTCTGTCATTAAATTCTCACCCCGTGTCATTCCAAACCCGTAAGACCTTATGTTCATCTTCTGCTCCTGAAACTCCATCGAATCTCACTTTAGAGGCGGCTTTTTGAGAACATGGACGCTGAAGGTCAAGTTCACCCTCAAGAGCATCTCATCACATCCCATTGGTAATGCTTGTTTTCAAATCTACTGCTATTTGGCATTTTGGCTGTGACCAGCTTACATTAAAGAGCAGGTCATATGGTATTTTAAAGTGTCATAATATTGTGTTGGAGTCCCCTACAACAGGTTTAAATGCATCTAAGGTCAGAAAACATTGTAATTTTCTCAGAATATACATTTAATATTAGAGTCATTTGCCAATGATTTCGAATTGATTCATTCCAAGCAAGTTTGGAGCAAACCCCTCACTTCCATAAGCCTACTCTGCTCTGATTGGTCAGCTGGCCAAGCCTGTTGTGATTGGCACAGAGAGGATTCCTTGAGCAAGTTAGCGAGCGCTACGATTGACAAAGCACCTTTACTTAAAACAATAATATAGTGCTCCAATCCGGTCTTATAATAATGTCATAAAATACAAAAACACTTATGCAAGCGAATCGTGCCCAAAGCTAAAGTTTAGCTGCTAAACGGTGAACACTTAAAACAATAATGGTGGATACGTTAGCCGAGTGCTAACGTGACTAACTGATAAAACAATACAGTTTGTAAACCAAAATATGTCTACTGTAATGTTTGAAGAACGACAGACAAAAGACGCTCTGTCTTAACTTTTAATCAGAACGCAGAACAGCTGTATCACAGGCGCACCAGCCTAACTAACTCGCTTGTCTCTCCCGCATTAACCCTATAACTGCCGGTGCAGCAAAATAAACAGCAATTTCACAATGATTATAAAGTCTGTGCACTACACTACATTCTTCATTATTAAACAAAGTAATTAGAACAAGGTCAGTCTACATTAATCAACACATTCTTAGGAAATAGTGGGTTCACAGCGAATTATCAGAACTACTTCAGTAAGACAGTAATATCGTGCTTTACCTAGAAACCTAAAGCTGCACTAGGTGTACATCACATATTAGCACAATTGGTGCCCACAAGAACATCGTCTAGCTGCTAAACTGTCAACGCTTAAATCAATAATGGTGGATACGTTAGCCGAGTGCTAACGTGACTAACTGATGAAACAATACAGTTTGTAAACCAAAATATGTCTACTGTAACGTTTGAAGAACGACAGACAAAAGACGCTATGTCTTAACTTTTAATCAGAACGCAGAACAGCTGTATCACAGCCGCACCAGCCTAACTCGCTCGTCTCTCCCGCATTAACCTTATAACTGCCGGTGCAGCAAAATAAACAACAATTTAACAATGATTATAAAGTGTGCGCTACACTACATTCTTTGTTCAAAAACCCATATGACCTGCTCTTTAACCAGCATTAAATTACTGTTAAAGAGATAGTTCACCCAAAAATTCTGTCATTAATTACTCACCCTCATGTCGTTCCAAACCCGTAAGAGCTTCGGTTGTCTTCGGAACACAAATTAAGATATATCATATTATGCTCTCGTTTATTTCGGGGTTCCGCAAAAAAAATTGTTTACGGCAATACTTTTTCATCATTTGAATGACGGCAGTCTTACATGCATTGTGACGGGGATGCAGGCAGAAACGTGAATAACAGCATGCGCGCTCACGTCACGTTGCTTCATGTTTGCACACGTTTTTAAGCACTGCAGTTTAAAACAACTGATTTTAGGCCGTTGAAACACAAACAACAGAGCTATATGCGCGCGCTGTCTCTGTTTCTGTGTGAGAGGAGTGCGTAAGCCACGCATCAGCTGCTAATAGAGCTCGTGAGCATTTTTGCCGCTTTATTGGCTTTGAAGATTGCATAAACACTTATATGCGTCCAAATGCCCGGCTTTGCAAGTATCCTCATAAACACAGTCATTTAAGTATTAAGGGAACGTAAACAGTTGCAGGAGAAAGCGCATGTGTAACAGTATATTGGATCCGGACTTCGGTCTTAAAGGGGAAGCTGTCCAATATTCGTCCTGTCTGCCATTCATGTTAATCAAACAACAGTGAGAGAAAATCTCTCACTGCTCTTGACTAAATCAATTTTGTAACTAGAATAAGATGAAAATAAATAAATAAATAATGATAATGATAATAATTATGCCTATATATATATATGGATATGTAGATAGATTAATTTAATGTATTTCTTATTTATTGTAGTTTAGGGTCCTATTGCTTTTAATTAGTTTCTTGTTCTTATTACATCAATGACTATTTTAGTACATTGTAATTACATCAATGATTATCTCCAGTGAGCTTGAGTTTTTTTTTTATAATTATTTTCCTGTATTAGTTTGATATTGACATTGGTGACAAGGATTATGAAAATTCTATGGTATCAAAATTTTTTATATCATAACCTTATTAAAAGAAAAAATAACTATATCATGATATATATCGTTATCGTGATATAAAATTACCATATCGTGATACAAGATTTTGGTCATATCGCCCACCACTAGTCTCGAGTTATCTGCCAGTAAATATGTCAATAGATTTGAACTATACTTAGTATGAAATAAATGTATTTTAAATATATTACTTTTTTACTAGGGCACTGATGACTATTTTAACGATGTCCTTAATACATTTGTGAGCCTTGAATGTGGTAGTTCCATTACTGTCTATGGAGGGTCAGAAAGCTCTCGAATTTTATCCAAAATATCTTAATTTGTGTTTCAAAGATGAACGAGGTTTGGATCTTACGGGTTTGGAACAACATGAGGGTGAGTAGTTAATAGCAGAATTTTCATTTTTGGGTGAACTGTCCCTAAACAGTAATTTAATGCTGGTTAATGTAAGCTGGTCACGGCCAAAATACCCAATAGCAGTAGATTTGAAAACAAGCATTACCAATGGGATGTGTTGAGATGCTCTTGAGGGCAAACTTGACCTTCAGTGACCATGTCCTCAAAAAGCCGCCTCTAAAGTGAGATTTGATGGAGTTTCGGGAGCAGAGTAGTCATCCACAGCAGCATTCGTCTCACTCCATTCTGGGATGGAATACACACTTTTCAAGATTCTATAATTGTCAAGTAGTTTACATTTAAATAGTCAAATACTGGATGATAGAAGAGTACTACACCCTTAGTAGTTGCTAAAAGCATTCAAATGAGCCAACATACAGTATTTAATGAAAGATCATGCAAGGGTGTGTAGAACTTTGTGAATGATGGACATTTAAATGAAACTTTCTGCTGGTTTGAAGTAAATAGAATGCAGCTCCTCACAAATCCCTTTTCTCTCTTTCTGTCTCCCAGTGGTGATGATCCACTGGACACGTCAAATAAAAGCAGTGCTGAGCGCTCAACCCGTGAGTGACATAGGAGACACCTCGGGCCTCCTGGAGGAGATCTCTTTCTGGAAGAGCCGCTGTGCTGATCTGGACAGCATTAGTAAGCAGCTGCAGAAACCTGGAGTCTGTCATATACAGGCGATTCTGCAGCTCTACACATCAACCTACATCCCACCCTTCTGTAAACTAGCCAAGCAGATCCAGGTAAAGCTGAGCATCTACATGTGTGTGTGTGTCCATGGGTGTGTGAAAATATTTGTGGGGCTACATGGCAGGAATTGAGCCGAGGGGTAATGGGCTGAACAAGAACATTCTCTGGCTGTTGATGATTTATATGCGGCTTCTGAATGGCTTTTCCTCACCCCTCGGAAATGAGGCCGTCTCACATTCGGGCTTCGCTATTACGAGTTGGCCCGGCTTCTCATTTCAACGGGAGACGGAGCATGTCTGTCAGCTCTACCTCAGCGCTTAGTGTCGCACCCTCGTTGCCCCTTAACACTGATTTTGGATCAGTTTATGGTTGTTCTTATAATGACTCAAGATTGGGGTTTAGATAGAGGAAGCTAGTCCTGCATCAGTGTGGAGGACATGTGTCCTCTTTTCTGATTGTTATGCCTCCAGCTTCATACTGCGCAAAATTGCAAGGCTGAAGCAACTGCCGTCCTTCATTTCATACAATCTCCAAAGCCTCTAAAAAAATCAATGTGACCAGAGTGAAATAATTAAACATCAGGCCTATTTGACCTTCAGGGGCACCCATGGCTGCTTGTAATAATGATGTTGTAGAGTCAGCTGTGTGCCTGATCACTGCCCCGTAACAGCCACTGTTGTGTATGGCGGCAGTCAACAAAGGGTGTTGATCCAAGAACAAGTCCCACTGGGGTAAAACCCTTTAAGCTTATTCGAATGTCACTGAAGTTGACCTTAACTGTGCCAAACTGACTTTAGATGAGTGAAATCAGGGCAATGTAAATGTGTTGTTCTCAATTATTTGACCTGGTTTAGGTAATGCTAAATTTGGGAGGAGCATGTTCATCAAATCCTGTATGTTACAGTAAAAGGATGTTTATCTCAATTTTTTTATAACAAAATGCAAGAATGTCTATCTATCTATCTATCTATCTATCTATCTGTCTGTCTGTCTGTCTGTCTGTCTGTCTGTCTGTCTGTCTGCCTAAGGATCTGTTTAACATTCTTTCTTTTGGTTTATGCATCTGTCTATCTGTCTGTCTGTCTAAGGATCTATTTAACATTCTTTCTTTTGGTTTATGCATCTATCTATCTGTCATCTATCCAGCTATGCATCTATCCTTCATTCTGTCTATCATTCTATATCTTGTTCTATCTATTTTCCAACATTGAAGTAACATTGATTTTTGTTTTTTTTCCTCCAGGATAGTACTTTGCAGGCTCAGTCAAACGTCTCCTTCCTGTCCCTACTGAAAGAGCCATGTGAGGAGCTTGCTCAGCTTAAACCTCGTGAGATTGCACCCAAACTCGCTCACATCCTTAACCTCATCCGTGTGATATGGGTCAACTCCAGCTACTACAACACCCGTGACAGGATCACAGCTCTATTATGCAAGGTAATTAATTTTAATTCAGGAATGCTAATATTGCGTGTTTGCTCAGAGACACACAATGCATGACTCTAAGTAACTGGCAGTAACTGGCAATATTTTGTCCGAATTTACTCAATATTAACTTGTTGTTTATTGTATTAAAAGTAGGGATGCTCTGATCGATCGGCCGGAGATCGGTATCGGCCGATAATCACATTTTATGACTCGATCGGTACTCCCTAACTTGGCCGATCTCACGAACCGATCGCAATTTGATGACGTCAACACGTGATGACGTACATGATGCGTGGGGACATAAATGATTTGGCGCCACAGTCATGTCATCGCTGGTGTGGAAATGC